TTGGTTCAGTCAAAGGGAAAAAGCTACGAAGACAACCCCAGTTTAAACAATGATTCAGAGATGACGACTTCGGTGAGCAAAGGCACTGGGCAGACGCCGGGCATAGAAAGTAACTGATTTGAAATTTTCAAGTTTGTTGATGGGCATAGAAAGGAACTGATCGAAAAATTTCACTTTTGGTTCACTTCAATTAATCTCAATGGACACTACGACATCCAGGTGCGTCAAATCCCATCATTCGCCAGCAGGAGAAAACGAATCAGACGATCAGCCAGTTGCTCCCCATCTCTATGCCTCGCAGCCTTGGGCCAAAGCAGCCGGTCCTTTGCAGAGTGCCGCGTCCTCCAGGATGATTGGAACGCACCGCACTTGTGGCAAGAAACGAAACGCAGAGGATATGGAAACTGAGTTCAATTTCAGAACAGGCAGCATGCCAGTTGGATGTGTCATGACCCCAAGATCGCGGTGTCTAGAATCCCTTGCGAGGGTTGCCCATCCAATTCTGAAATCACTACCACGCTGGGGTTAGAGCCCTGAAAGATTATCAAATTAGAACCTGGAAAGTTTAGTATATGAGTCCCCCCCCCAAAAAAACCCAATGTTCTACAAGTTTATGGTGTGCAAGAACACAATTTAGAACCGCACTATGCGTAGACTTTCGAATTCTAATTTACGCTCTGTCGAGGGATCGAAGTTGTGGAACCAGGGGGGTTGTTTGATCTTCACAGGATGGTGTTTCTTGACAAGCAATGACATATATGTAGAAGTGCGATGTGGTTCAAGGAGTGGAAAGTATGGTGAGCGTAACTTTGTAGAGGAGGCACACGCCAGGCGTAGGGAACTACAGAACGTAAACGACAGGCACGAGGTTAGCAGAAAAGGTTTGGGTTTGCTGCAATGACCCAAGGAGACGGAAACTGTTGATAGCTGCAGAGAGCCGCGAACACAGCGAGCAAGGCGTGGGCGTGTCTGAGCCAGAATGATACCTTGCGTCAACCGAGAAGGATTTGACGTAACAAGTGTGTTGAATAGTTAACGAAGATGGTTTGCGAGGGTAATGGAAGACTTAGCTGAATATCGCCTCCAGGTGGCGATAAGAAGAAGCGACGATGTGAGTGAGATCGTCGGCAAGGTGTGACACAAGTTGCGGCAAGGATCGCGGCATAGAACTGGTAGCAGCAAACATTTCTTGCCAGAGAAATGACTTGCTAAAAGTATTTGGCTGCTCGCGTCCTTCTTGTCGGAACAGGTTCCATCAACAAGTAGTGTATAGAAAGCAATTCAACCGAACAAGTTACTTTGAGCGCAGTCAAACAGCAAAATGCTGACAAGCTGCACTGCGAACCAGGCTGATTCATCCCAAGAATACGTGTGAAGATTGCCAAGGTTGTGTTTGGCACGTTCACGACAGAAAAGTCGTGGCTCAAACCATCCCAAAAAGTTGAAAGTCCTTCAAAGTCTTTTTTTGCTGCAGGGTGCAGAGAAGAGACAGGAAGAAGCAGGGTCAAACTTGAGTTCCCATAGCTGCAAACCATCCGACACAAAGACTGCGGCTTGGAGGAACACCTCCCCAAGCAGGGAACTGGAGCGGTTGCAGCAAGCCGCGTCTCAAGATGAATCATCGTAACATTGGCCCAAACACGCGGGTTACTGGGAGAGTGCATGGAGAGCCAAGTACGCAAAGGCGCATGGCTTGTACGTCGTGTGTGTTTGACTATGTTTTGATAGAATCTTATTTATTGTATGTTCCACCAAAACATTTTGGCTCAAGCGAGATTTCTGATTTTGCTTGCTTTCCTTTTCGTTCCTCTCCCACCCACTCCGATTTGCTGGTTCTCCTACGTAGCCAGCATCTTCGTATTCAATCTGGATTCTGTTTGCGACTTCGTTCGCTGCATTACTTGGTGATCACCACTATTATGGCGCGCATGCCTTCGGAGATTCGATTCACTCTTGAATTCCAACCTGGCGTTGCTACTTCCATCATCGACTCTATTCTCGAGCCACTTCAATTGAATGCTTTGGACCGCGATGTCAACGAAATTCTTTACCCTACCTCAGTATCTTTACGACATGCGATAGAACCACCGCTGATCGACCTCGCAAGGCATTGGATACCATGGTACGAGTTTATTTCCACTGGTGCTATTTACCACTTTTATGTGGCAGAGACACAGATTTTCGAGCACCTGACCAACCTGGCCTTTGCCACCGGTAACTATCTGACTCTTGTAGCACCAGATGTTCCCTTAGCTCTTCGAGAAGAAACAGTGCTTATTATTCACACTATCCCCGTGATGCGTCTCATGGAGTTAGCTGCTGAATCGGCCACGCGTATTCGTGACTTAGAACTCCGCCTGGCTGATACAGAACATTCAATTGCTTTGATTCGCCAACACCTTGGTCTTTAGACCATCTTAACACTCCGCGCAGTCTTACGGGACGCAGCCCATCTACGGCATCGGACGATTCAGCAAGTTCCAAAAGAGAAGGGCAGCGTTCGAATGCGAGCAGCTTCGTTTCGTGTTGGGTTGAAACAGAAAATGCAGAAAGATTTAGTTGCAATGAAATAACAAGTCCCACTAAAACTGAGTGATGAGAGAGCGTTTGCCCATTTGTGATTGTGATCAAATCCAACTTGGAAAGACGTCAATGCATATGTTTTGTGCGAAGAAGAAGCAATGGATGGAAGGAGAAAGTTGTAAACAGGAAGTGGTAAAGTGAGATTGTTGTTTGGAGGCGTCGCATGCATGGATTTTTTTGGGCTCCAGGGAAAAACAAATCAAGATGCTGCAAGTGTCATTCGTTGCCGTATTGGTGGAAGCAGCGCTTGGCTGGGTGCCGTGCCTGGAAGTGGCACAAGCAGCACGTGGATTCCCCTCAGCGGCAAGCCGAGCACGGTTGGAGCAGCTGTTGAAGAAATTTGGTCTTTCGGCGGCGGACGGCTTTGGCAGTCATGTGAAGAGATTGTACAAACACATCATTGTCCCACTTCGACTCTGTCAAAATTGTGCCCTCACCGCACAGCCCGCACAGGTAGCAGGAAATGGTCCAATAAGGCAAGTCCGTGTCAGGTACCTGCCAGGGCATCGCTGGCAGGTGTTAGCACTGGAACGCATTGACCGTGCAGAGTTGAAGAACGCGTTCACATGGCCTGGGTTTGGCGATGCGGTGGAACGGCTGCAAGCTGAGGGTGAAAACTTCTTTTGGTTGCGCACACGCAACGACCGGGTGGTCGGTGAAGCCTATTTAATCTTGAAATGCAAGGAAACAACGTGGCTTAGAAGTACGGTGCATGGTTTCGAGATTGAACTCAAGATGGTGCGCACCTGGGAATTGGACGAAGATGAACGATGGGATAGTGGTAGTGGAGATGAGTCGATGGATGCAGGAAATGTATAGCTGTCAAGCTGTTGTCGATGCGGCGCCCAAATTTGACGGCAGCCGAAACAGAACAGCAAGGGGGCAAGCGTCACCACGCAAAAACAGCTCAACAGGTGACCTGTCAGTGTAAGTGGTAGAGGTGATGTACGCGAACATTAATGACAGATGCATTGTCAACACGATCCGTAGGGTCATGAAGTTCAAAACCATATGAAAAACCATATGAAAGAGTTTGCAAAGTTCGGAAACATCGGCACAGATGTCAGGTGTAATTCGTGCAAGCTGGATTGAACATAGTAAGGCACAGAAGAGGGGCTGGAGTGCGAAAAAGGTGTTGTTGCATCAGGGACCAGGGAAAACATGAAGGGCCAGAGAGGCTGTCATAGAGGGGAAAATGTCCAAAAAGACAACGGAGTGCGGCAGAAGACAACACAACAGTGGGGAAGGCTCGAACAAGATTGATTCACTCCGAGTTCACTCCTTACTTTCACCGCAATGGCCAGCGCTAACCTGAAGCAAGCAAAGCGCAAGAAAGGCATGACCAGCGGCTTCAGCCAAAAGCGACTCAGGGAGCGCAACAAATGTAACGCACAAGAAACCGTGACATGGGCCGGGGAAACGGGCATTGCAAAAGGCTTCGGCACAGCTACGGCGCCCGGGGTGAGCCACGCCCAAGGTGGCGGGCCAGTGGCATTCGAAGTGTTTGCCGGGTCTGGACACCTCAGTAATGCCTTAGAGACCGTGGGCATGCGATCCTTTCGCTTTGACATATTGTTGGACCCAAGCCACGACATGAGTCAAAAAGACTGTGTGGTCCACATCCTGAAGCTAGCCAAATCCTTGCGGTGTGAGTATGTGCACCTTGCCCCGCCGTGCAATACATATTCAGCGGCGCGGTACCCAAAAATCAGGACGGCCGTTTGCTTGAGCCAATAAAAGAAAAGGTAGCAAGGCAACAGTGAGGGACAGTCAAGCCACATAATCGGTTATTTCTTCGTAGCAGAACGCACTGGTCCAGGACGTTGTGGTAGGAGGTGAGAATGTCAAATTTATCGTGCATGGGAGGACAAAGAAGCACCCTGATGGAATTCCGGGACTGAAGAAGAAGGATCGCGATCTTATCAAAACCAGTACGCTGATCAGTGACAATGTATGGGACATGGTCGAAAAGCTGTCCGTGAAGGGCACGTACATCAGTGTGGAAAATCCACTTACGTCTTTGCAACTCGGCCATGATGTGGGCCAGATTGCAAAGATGTTGCTTTCACCGTCGTTTCAATTGCAATGACATGGGGTCGACACATTTCATCCGCCCATGCAAGGAGGATACTTGGTGCCAGTTTGTCTTTGTCCGTTGACTAAGGTTTTGGCATACTCGACGTTTCAAGCGCTTGCAGAAGAAGCTGGGCCTCCGTCAAGTGGTGTATGACAATTGCAGGTGATATGCGCATGAGCAAAAATTGTGAATAGAGCGGTGATAGGATGTGTAACAAGGAATTCACTTTGAGTAGAAGTGATCACGGAGATTCAATTCGTTTACCATGCAAATGCATCAGGTAAAGGGCTGTGAAAGACATGTCTGTCTTTTGTGCAGGTTTGGCTGCCGCTACAAGAAGTCAACCTCGGTGTGGACTAATGCACCTTTCCTGACGTCCATTGGGCTGCGATGCCAATGCAAGAAGAAGGGCAAGAGGCGCATCAACTTGTCAGGTTGGAAGCCAATTGCAAAGGACGGCCACAAGATCGAGGGCCGAAATATGTCCACGAAAGGATCCCAGGCATACCCCCTACGCCTTTGTCGGCTGTGGGCTAAATGCATTGTAGGTGGCTTGATAAGTTCCACCAACTAAGCTGCATGGAGCGGTGAAAGACTTCCCTCGGTGTAAAGGCGCCGGAATTTTCAAGGCTGCCGCTTGACCACCGACAGCATTCCATTGCACACCACGGCGGCCAGGGTAGCAAAAGGCCGAAGGGCTGAAATTCTGGCCGGACGATGGGTGAGTTGCAAAAGCTAAGATTGAACAAATGTAAAGAAAGGAAAGCGCAAAATTATACAGGACACAGTCGTGGACTAGTATTGCTGCAACCAAATCGTTCCAGCTGAGAGACCTATAGGGGGCATATGTAAATATGGCGCCATATGTTTGAAGGCAGCCAAGAGCACCCCATTTTGGAAGCAGACTTGTTAAAATGTGTACAGAGGCGCCACAACATCGGATGTAACCAAGCCTTACGCCGCTTGCGAAGCAAGTTGGGCAGTAGCAAAAGATAATTTCGATTGGCAGCGGCGTCAGTGCCA